AGGCCATTCTATGATTCTATGATTTAAACCAGTTCTCAACTACTTAAATGGCCACTGCTGGTGGTTGTGGAGGAGTGAGCACATTACAACTATGTCTACTCAGGGAGGGTGCAAAAGTAAGAGTGAAAGGTAGTTTAGTCTCTCCACTACCTCCGCATTTTGCTTCTGTGCTGCAAAATAGAAATATGCCACCTAGAGTCAGATGGCCATGAGCAATACTGCACCCCTGTTCACTAGGAACTGGGCTCTACTGGCTGATCCACTTCACACAGGTCACTGCCCTGTGTTAATACGCTGAAACTTCTTGTTATTTGTGAGAGTTTGAGCTCCATTTGAAACCATAACATGAACAAAAAAAGGTGTCCTTCTTATTATAAGAACCTTAATCATAAAGTATTTTTTTAATTCAGCAGATTATGCGAAGACCTCTTTTCTTCCTTACAGTTATGTTTTGTTTTTTAAAACAGGAAAGATGAGAGAGCTTTACCTACATACCATTACTGTACATAGACTAACTGCATCATATGAACAAAACAAAAAATGCCTTTGAAAAAACCAACTGCATTAGGCTTTCACTTTAAATTTAAAGTAGATATTGAAACATCTCAAAACATTACATGTCAGTAGCAAAAAAACATTTTTTTTGGACACTTACTTTAATAATAGATGGCATTTTGGAGTTGAGGTTATCATAAGTAAAATGCAGACGAGTCCTGAAGGAACATTTGTACAGCAGAGGTTCCTGGTAAAATTCAATTTTACCACTAGCATTTCTCTTATCAAGACATACTGTGCAGTCAGAAAAGTTGATCATCTTCCTCAGTACCAGATCGGTGGCTTTTAAAAGAAGTACAGAGGTTAAAAAAATTAAATTGTACAAAAAAAGTAAGTTATACGTACATGTTCTTATCTAGAAGAGACCAATACAAGACAGTTGTGAGGTCATTACTTAAATCATGACAGTACTTGCTAATATGACTAAAGAGAATAATTTAATGTGTCACAGACTCTTTCACCTGAATACTTAAAAAGTGAGGACAACGTAGTTAAACACAATTCAAATTTTTATTCTTTCACTGCCCCTTAGATCTGTTTATAAAGTAAGAGTATTGCTTCATGTGCAAGCATTAGACCAATAAATATTATTCTTGTTAATCTCCCAGAAAGAATTTTACTTTTTTTTTCCCCAAAGCTCTCTTTGAAATCTCTTCCAAAAAGAAGAGCTCTTCTAGTGATCTTAACATGAAACATACTTTGTAATTTTGTCGTATTAGTTTACAGTAAATTTAGCCAGAACAAAGAAATGGTTCCAGTGCTCAAGAAATCATTAATTAAATTCCCCATTTTACTGCAGGTATCTGTGTGATCTTAAAATACTCTCACTGTGCCCAGGTACCACCTCTACCAAATATCAGTAAGAACATGGAGACTTACAGGTGAACGTTGGTAATTCAAAGACTGAAACATGCAAATACTGAAGGCAAAGATAAAAATCAAAAAGTTGGAATTTTTCTCCCCTGAAAATGTGAAGCAAAGTAAACTGCGTCTTGCAGTTGCTATGCCATGCTCACTGCAGTGCCGCAGGTTTTACTACATCTCCAGCCAGCCTGTGTAGTGAGTTTTAAGGTGATCAGAAAAAACTACCACAGACTGCCTTAAGATGCTCCTGCTCATTCACAAAACTGGAAGCAGGCTGCCCAAGTGCTCTCTGCCAGAAGCAAGCACAAAATGAAATGCAGTCACAGCAGGATGGCAAGTATGAAGAGAGAGGAATACAAAATATGTATCATTATCTGTGACCATACAAGTATGTGTTAAGAATAAATCTGTATTATTATAATTGCACATCATAATGAAGGATAAGGTACAACCCATAAGAAATGAAGGGGCAGAAACTAGTACTTTGCACACAAAGAGCCATTTTTATTACACTTGCAAATTGCTATATGAATTCAAGACTGCCTCCATTGTGATCCGAAAACAAAAAAATATCTGCTCACCAGAGATGTCCATGAAGGCTCTATCCCAAAACTCATCCACCGTATAGCACTCTGCTGAAGTGATATTGACCGAGAGAACAATATCGTCCTCCACATACTTTAATATGAGATTGTTGATCACAATGTTGACATTGTTCACAACACGCCTGATCAAACTCTGAACATAACCTATAAAACAAAAGTAATTCTTAGGAGTCATAAGGAAGACATGGCAGCAAATCCATTTATTACTGAAGTCATTATTTTCAACTTGTATACTTTTTTAAAAATCAAAATTCAAACAAACCAAGTATCCCTGTCCTTTGTTTATCCAAAAGTCACTGGCCTTAAAACTAATGTTCAGTTCAGTTAAGTCAACCAGCATCCTAAAAATTCCCTAAACTATAGAGCAAATAGTCTAAATACTAGAAATGAAATAAAGTGTAAGAGGTTAGTTTCTGGTGGCAAGAATTCTACTTTCAAACTAATTAAGATGACTCTGGATTATTGTAGACAAAGAATTTTAACGACAGTGACTTCTTTTACTTGAAAACTACTTAGAAATAGGTTTGGAAAACCGAACACCAGTTGCTAGGTTACTTTTCAAGTACGCATATATTACACCTATTTGCCCATCGCCGAGGTTTTCTAAAAGTTAACTAAACATTAATGTACCTAATACTTCTTTTTTTTTTAATTCTAAAAGCTAATATATCCATACCACGCTCAGCAAGACCCCTGTGAGATATAACAAAATCAATTTCTGTCACCAATCTAAATAGTAAGCACCTGCACTGGAGCCTGCTGGGGAAGAAATTCCTTTAAATTTTTTCAGACAGAATGTGATTGGAAAAATGATCTCGTCTCTGAATTCCCAGTATGTAGTAAACACTCTTATTTTACCAATATGGTAAAGAAATTAAATATTACCATACTGATGTCTTATGTATACTGAATGTAACTATGGAGCTAACTCATGTGTGCTGAAAGGAAAAAAAAAAAGAAAAGAAAAAACCCACAAGCTTTAAAATTTCTAATTTTAAAAAAAATATAACATTACTCATTCTATCTAAAAATACATCTATTACATGCTATAGAGGTCTAGTTTGGTAACTATACTAATAAAAGCCAGTAAATGATACAATTTTAAATACCCAGGCTTCAAGAGCAGTTTTCTGAAAACTTGCATTAAATAAGACTCATTTATATCAACAATTTTAATTCAAATAAAACTTAAAATTAACATCAAAACATTTTGTGAGATCAGTAGAAGCAGACTTGGGTTTCTATATCCTTTCCGCTCTGCTTTTTCTAGCTATTCATTGTTATCACACTAAAATAATACTTTTGAACTTTGAATACATGGAACATTTTACCATTACATAAGTGATTTTCTTGCGTTCCACAACCATGAATTTACAAAGTTGACGTAAGACATTTCTCAGTCTCCAACAACCTCTTTTAGTAAATGCAAAACACACTTTCAGCCAACATTAAGTGATCATGTACATTTCTGTGCTTTAGAAGTATTTCAGTATTCAAATCCAAACTGTGAAATCCGTATCACGTTTCTTATCATAAATCAGTTTCCTTTATTTTATAACATTCTTGAGCGTACGTCACCCTTTGAACAAAGCTAGTTCCAGCAGGACAGAAATACTATTTTAACATCTTCTGCCATCTTAATAGGATTGTAATTGTATTAAAAAAAAATCCTAAAAATGTTTTAAGATTACAGTCTACAGAAACAGGAAATTCTGAAACACAGTGAAAGTCAAAATTTTGACAGCTTAGTACTGTCAGATTTCTAACATAATCTGGATTTACCATTTTAGCATATCAATCAAAAAGAAAAAAATACCAAAAAATGTGGAATAACTTGTTTTTAAGCGTTTTCTCACTAACTTCTTAAAATGGTAACATATTTTGAGGTTACATGAATTCAGAAAACCAGACGTATTATTTCAATAATTAAGGGACATAAAAGACCCATATTTATCAGTAAACTGACCTGTAAATAAATAGAAGCTGGCACAAAGTATTAGTTGCCTTTCTTAACTTCATAATACAATTACTTTGCAGATTACATAATTAGAAACTCTAAAATCCTAACTAGTAATTTAATTATGATTGTAAAGCAACCTGCTACTTTCATTGACGAAAATGAAGCTGTCCCTCCATAGGTCCACAGTTTTTTCAATATTTTGCTTTCAAGTGTCTTTCAAAGTCTATCTAATTTACCTTTTCCTGCTGTGAAAAACAGAAACACTACAAATTCAGCATCGTAGAAGTGGGCAAAAAAAAGGCAACTTCTGTTAGTTGCCAATAGAAATCAGGAAGAGAGCAACAAGACTTTAATTTATGTGTCTTTTTCCCTGAGCGCATAAAAGGAGGGAGCAGAATTCTATCTTCCAAATGAAACAGGGATCACAGATTTGATAACTTCATTTCATAGGGGCCGGTTAGCTCAGTCAGTTGAGCGTAGCGCTAACAACGCTAAAGTCGTGGGTTCAATTCCCGTTCGGTCCCCATGTGTTGCCTGATCTAGTTGAGAGGTGGCGTCCCTGGCCACAGGGAGGCTGGATTAAAATGATCTCTAGGATCCCTTCCAGCTTAGGCCATTCTATGATTCTATGATTCCACACTTCCATGAGGGCATACTCAAACTAGAGGTGCGGTATGTTGTAAAAAGTACCATATATGCACCATGTATAATATGGGTTGAGTTTTATTACTTAATTTTTTTTAGAAAGAGAGGGTTGTAATTACAAGTGGAAGAAAACAGGTAGACGTTGCTTCTTATTGTTGTAATTTTAAAATATAACACTATAAACCATTTTTGCTACTAAAATTCAGGTATTTATGATGAAATGACTAAAACCACTAGAAAATCTGTAGGGGTAGATTCTCTCCTGAGGTATAACACAAAATCCACATGTATGTTTTTTCCAAATTCTTCAGAACCCAGCAGGTTGCACTGTGCAGTAAGAGCTACAAATGCTGTTCCAGATTCAATCATCCAAAATATTGTAGCCCTATAGTCCACAGAGTGGTCTACTCATTCAACAGAACTGATATCATCAGACTGGTCACATCACAACACCTTCGCTTTCTCAGTGTTCTCTCGTTACCAAAGCTACATGTTTAGCTAAACTCTGCCTAACTCCATCTCTGAGATCACAGCTGAGCTAAGGGACAAATGAAAGTTTCAACAAATTACAATAGTAGCATGAGAGATATTCTCCAAAGACTACAATACATCTAAGTACATGACTCAACAACTTACTTAAAACCCAGGATGCACAAACTAAATTTTAGCAAAGCCATATCCTATATCACAGGGAATAAAATCTTCCTAATAAGGAGGCCTCTACTCCTCACAGAGGCTTTACCACACAGGACCTCTATACTAAACAGTGTTATTTATGCATCAAAACCCAAACCCAACTGTATTTAGAGAACTTTGCCACATGGAAAGAACTTACAGTACCTTAAGTCAGGCAAAATTCCACTAATGCTCGCCAAATCATTAGACTTCACTACCAACACACATGTGCAGTTGAAGAAGGACTCGGACGACAACAAAGGAGGTGACAGTGTCCTACAGTTTCACAGCACACAGTACATCTACAGAACCTATCAGACAGCAACAAAAATGCAACAGATCTGATAATTTGCTACAGTACTGAAAATACAGTACAAGCAATTTGTACAAGCACGCTAACCATCAAGAACCACAATATATTCATAAAAGATGACATGCAAAACAATTTTCCATGTGCATATTGCATCTGAATCTGTGCAAACACGTGTTTTGGAATGTTTTAACCTGATCAGATGTCGACATCACAAGATCACCTCCAGCCTTCCACTAAGCCTACAGCTTTCTGTGAGGTCCACAGATAACGACAGGAAGAAACTTGAGGAACCAAAAGCCTAAAAACATCACCAAAAGCAACATAATCATCCAGCTCTTGGGCAAGCCTTTGACTCCTGTTCTTCCCAGGTGAGACCTAAAGAACCCAAGGCCAAGGAACTTCCTGAGCTGAAGCACTGTTCATGGTAGGACCTGGTAGATGCCAATAGTCCTAAAATTCCAAACCACAGGAGTTTACTGAATCTCTGAGCTTTAAGAGAGCCTCCAGATCTGGCTCCTCAAGCACCCATTCCAAAGCAAGATGCTACTCTGTAGCACGTAATATTCCACACACTAAACTTGCTGCTAACAGAAGTCGAACGCAAAACTGCCATGTTTTTAACCCGTTTAAAATTAAACTGTCCCAAGGATCACAGAATGGCTTGAGCTGCAAGGAGCCTTAAACACCAAGGCAAACTGCAATTCATTCCATTACTCTCCAGTTTTCTGCACAAAGCACCACCTCAGACTCCAAAATTCTGTGCAAACTCAGAGGCAATAGTAATCAGACAGATAGTTCCTCAGGTATTTTTATATCATACAAATATCTCCAAGTTCAATTGAGCCAAATTCCGCATCACGACAAAAAAAAAAAGTGAACATCTCTACCAATAAACACAGGGCTCAGTAAGAAACATCTCTCAGCATTATTACTCTCATAAAGAGAAAACTTTAAAATGACTATAAGAATCAAAAAAATATGAGAAAAGAGCCTAATGTGAACCCCTAAGGAGTTAATGAACAGTAGAAAAATAGAGTGATCTGAAACAGAAGAACCAGAGCAGCAGAGGACAAATATTTAACACACTGCTCCTACAGTATGTTTCTCATGCTAATCTATCCTCCACTAAAAACAAGTTCTGTAAATTTAAGAATTCAACAGAAAGGAAGGAAAATATGTAAGAATTAAATATGCTCTATTGCAATTTGGTTCTATTTCGTAATATTCAAGTATTTCACTAACATTCATGTGAGTTGTAGAAGGACAACTAACTTGGACACTGTGGCCACCTGAATGAAATTTAGGTATTTTATATCACTCAAATACAATTTAGGTTCTAAAATTATGGATTACCTGGAGGTAAATCAGGGTCAGGAGAAGCAGATTGCTGAACTCGCCGTGGTTTTACTGCTGATTTCAGGCTTTCCGTAGTACTGCGGTTTGTTGAACTGGAACCACAACTTTCGTGGTCTTCCTGCTAGAGGAAAAGCAAGCAACTGAGTCAACCCAACCAAAAGAAAATAAATGTTGGGAGAACAGCTTGGTAAACATCTGGAAAATCATCTTCTGTTACTGTTTTTCCATCAATTCAGTCCTGAGCATATGCCTAACTACAGAAGTTATTAGAAATCTAGCTGGACAACATAAAAAAAAATATTTGCAATTAATATTCTCTGTAAGTTTTACTTAAAAAGAAAAAAATCAAAAACCTTTAACTGAACACATTTTATCTAGCAGTATTTCTGGTGAAACATTCCTTCAAAAGGAGACAAAGCGTCGCAGACTACCAACATAAATATGAGAAACTACCAAATTTTACAAGCTTACAGGTCTACTCATGTAACTGCCTCAGACAGTTCCAGTATGTCAGTCATGTTCTCCTTAATACAGCTAAGTGAAGTTGATTCACAGAGCAAAATATTTCTGTAGACTTCCAAAACAGTAAAGCATGGCCCTAGAAAAGATAAATGAGTTGAGGGCACCTGCTCATCTTGGGCATTTTATATAGATTATTCACCTTGAGGAATTCAGAAGCAGGAAATATGGCTCATAATCAGAGAAAATAAGCCTTACAAGATGAAGTTTGCCGGCACAAGAAAGTCTTAATTAGGTGAATTTAGGGTTTTAAATACCCCACTAGTATTCCTGTAACATTCCAGAATGAGAGTTTAACTACAAGACTCAATTGCAAGAAAGCCAAGAAAAGTAATGCAAACATTCTTGTATGTGTATTAGAAGAGCCGGTTAGAGAGAAAGCAAATTCTTACAACTTTTGACCCAAGAGCAAAACCTCCCTGTGTCATGGCACTACTGGGATCACACAACACGTTCACAAAAAAAAAGGGGTTGAGGATCAAGTACTGCAGTGTGAAGTTATAATTCTCAACAAGCAAACAGATTTAAACTGTGCTGGGTCTTTGTATAGGATAGATCACGTGTTTCCCTGCATGCTGCCTGGCATTTTTTATAATCTCAGAGAAATTACAAAACTGAATCTTTACATTAATTGCTTCTTAATGTTTTTTATGCATGAAAAATAAAGAATAAAATGTTATATGTAATGATGTATTTTAAATACAAGTATACAACTTCAAAAACTCTTAAACAGATAATTTCTTTCCTTCCACTCCATATTTAGAAAAACAGAACACCAGGAAATTCTCTAATAAAGTTAAGATTCCATTTAACTTTGAAAAAAAGATGATGAGCAATATAATTTTAGTCTGTGGGGGGGAAATATTAACTTATTTGGAGAAATTCTGAAAGATAGACTCATAAAATGCATTAAAAGGGTGGAATATAGCTTCTAAAAGAAGGATGGGTTACCAGAAAGTATTTTAGATTTTCCAGTTATTAATATAGTATTAAAACAAGCTGTTTATTAATTCATAGTTATTTGGCCATTTCAGTCATACAAGACTTTCCCAGTCCCATGCCTGAAAAAGTGAAATGCATGTTTAGCATTAACTCTTGTTTGGAGGGCACCTGTTTGCTTTCTTTTCTCCAAGAATCTTCCAGTGTTTTACATTGAGGAACGTGAGTCTCCCGAAAACTCTCAGAACTTCTAATTACGGTGCAATTTCATCAGAAAGCCACCACTCTCTTTACGGTGTACCTGAGTAATAACAACAGCTTGAGGCTCTTGCTTTATCTTTAAGTCTGGGGCAAGGGAAGCCTCTTCATCAACGTGCATGTTTTGTAATCGGAAGGAGTTCACCTCTCCTTCACAGAATCATAGAATGTGTTGGGCTGGAAGCGAACTTTAGAGGTCCAACCCCCCTGCAGTGAGCAGGGACACCTTGAACCAGATCAAGTTGCTCAGAGCCCCATCAAGCCTGAGCTTGAATGTCTTCAAGGATGGAGCCTCCACCACCTCTCTGGGAAACCTGCTCCAGTGTCTAACCACCCTCAGAGCTAAGAACTTCTTCCTAATATCTAGTCTAAATCTACCCTGCTCTAGTTTAAAACCATCACCCCTCATCATGTCTCCAGCTTACTGGGATGACAGAATTTCAAGCTAAAATTTCTGAAATTACTTTTAACCAATGACTTTTTCTTGGAAACCAGTTCAGATGTTAACATGAAGGTATTTTTTCAGATGAGTCACCACACTGCTGCTTACATTTGGAGTGTCAGAGTGACCAGACAGCTCAATTAGCACATTTTCTTCTTTCCTGAGCTCACTTACAGACTGTACAGAATGCTGTGGTGTGATTATTTAACAATTTGATCTGATAGGATCACGTTACACTTGCCTTTTAATATTTACATGGGCTACAAGAAAAAGAAAGGGGGGCACAGGGGGATGGGGAAGGTATTCTATTTTTTAAGTGTTAACTGTATGAAGCCTAACTACATTGCAGTCTTTCTATCTGCATACTGACATGATCATATTCAATGAATCTTCTCATAACTTCATGCAAAAATCTATAGGTTGTTTTAATCCTACAGAGCATTACTAACACAGATGAAGTAAGGGGTTTAAGCTTTTACAGCTTTCAGAGAGTTAGGAATATACACTAACACACTGGATTTGGGGGGTGGTTCTGTGTTTTTTAAAGAAAAAGGGTGAAGAATCCTTGGATTGTGTCAATTTTGAAAGAACGTCTCAATCTTAACCTGCAAATAAATTTTAATACAAACGAGCTTTTACTACTTCCCCGTGAGTCTGTTGTGATGGAAAATGGCTGCAACCATTTAGAACTAGCTGGACCTAAAAGTAATTAAAACAAAAATGCCATGTTTGAAGATGGTGCCAAAGTGCAACATAAAAATTTGTCACAAGTATACCTGTGCACACCCATGAAATCACAGAGTATACCTACATTTAAGAAGAATTCAACCTGACAAAGTATTTAAAAACAAAAACAAAAAAACCAAATTCATCTGGGATAACATTGATTTCCTTAATTTACACAATTATCAAAAAAGGTTTTAGACCTGCACGGCATTTTTTTGAGCATGAACATAGACTATTTTACACAACAGCTACAGATACTTATAAAGCAAATGGTACACTCCTTATTAGCAGAAGATGATAACAGTGGCCATGACCTTATAGGAACTACATTCCTATGTAGACCGATATCCAAAAGCTTTCTGCAACTGCACGCTGCTGCTCAATGTTAACTTTAAGAGCACACTATTAATTTCTCAAACATGTGGCTGTCTCAAAAGCCCAGAAGTAAAACATGTTCATTAAAGAGATGGGAAAAAGTTCCAAGCAAACTGCCAAAACTAGCATAATTATAAAACTATTTAACACTGGAACCAACTAGAGTCACACACTGTGTCTAGATAACAGTGATGTCACCAGAAACACCCGGCCAAAAGGCACTAAAACTTCTGCACTCCCATAAATCCACCTCACACCAAATGACAAACATTTCAAAGTTGAAGTCAAAATTATGCTGGGGGTTGGAAGGGAGTTACATTCTACAAGTCCTAATAACTACAGTTATAGGATGAGATATGAGAAATGCCCGTTCATTTCAGCACTAATGAGAGTGATTCCAAACGAGAATCATAACTGGAAAAAAAAGAAAATACCCACAATGTACCTAGAGTGATGATTTTTAAGAAAAAATAACACTCACTGTATCATAAGTAAAGCCTAGAAACCTTAAAAAATTTTAACATGAGGTGTTGTTACACAAGTACACCTTGAACCATGACAAATAGAAGTTTGCACAACCAGGCTCCTTCTTCCCTTTGGGCAAACGCATCAGACCGGGTACTCTGCTGAAATGTTTTTCCAGAGCACTATGGTTACTTCTAAAACTATGCAAGTCATAAGTAACGTGCTAAAGACACCTAGGCTGGTAAATTTACCATGTGAGTTCCTCAGTCAATTTTCTACTGCAATATAAAACAGTTATTGCAAGGATTAAAGCAAATTACAGTAGACAACGCTTGACCGCATAATATATGAGGTTTATTATTTGAAGTGGAGTTATATTAGTTCATTATTCACTTTTCCAAATTTAAACTACATAGTTCTTTTTCTCTTTTAAAAAGACACTTTCTCATTTTAAAATACATAAATCCTATTTAAAGTGCAAGACCTCTAGAACGTCTCATAAGCACGCTTTATGGGAAAATGCTGTTTTCTCTTGGGAATCACTTTGCTATTTATGCAAATATCAGCCCTCTGCTTTCATCAAATTAAACAAAGAAAACTGACTTCTTAAAAAAAGCACACCATGGAGTATGTGTAAAAACAATGACTATTTTGAATAAAATTTTTAAACCCAAACTGTTCACAAGTACCTACTGCACAAACTTGCAGAGAGAGTTGTCCGCTGTGGTTTTCTCTCTTCTTCTGCAAATTTTCATTTACTGATCCTTTGACATTTCTAAAACAATGAGCTTAATACCCTTCACAAGTTAATAAGGGTTACCTACTTCTACTTCCATGAAGTACATCTAAAATTATAAGATGCAAAAACCTGAAGAGAAGAACTTGCTTCTGACTAGTGGACTGTACTTATGTGGCTAAGCAGTTAGCTGCCTGTGGCAAGACTAAAAGTAATACTCAAAATATGTTCATTTTAGCAAGACTTTTGACACAGTCTCCTGCACAGACCTTATTACCAGACTGGTGTGGTATCTCCCACTATCTCGTTGATAAGCTGCGGAAAAAAATTGTTGTGACCATTGAGCTCAAAGAGTTGTGATCAGGGGTACAAATCCTAACTGATGGCTGGTTACTTCCTGCATTCTCCAAGGATCAGTATCAAAATCTACAGCTATCAACATCCTTATTAAACACCTGGAAGCTGGGATAGAGTGTACCTTCAGCAAAGCTGTGCATGGTACTAACCTGGGGGAAGAATCGATGCATTGGTGGGCAAGGCTGCTACTGAGAGGGAAGGAAGAAGGAACTCTGTGAAGTCCAGATGCAAACGCTAAGTCCCGCACCTGGGATGGAGGCACTTTGTGTAACTGTAGAGACTAAAAGTTAAATTTGTAGTA